CCCCAAAACCCCAAAACCCCAAAACCCCATGATGCTTAATATAGTAATAGCTAAAAGAAATATAAATAAATAGAAGATACTATTTTTAAAACAAATTTATTTAAGTTGCCTCTTCTAACTAATTCACTAAACCTCACTCAATTAATAATTTAAAATTGGAAGTCAATTTTTATAATAAAATATTATAACTTGAAATAAAATGAATCAGCTAGAAAATTCCAAAGAAGAGACATATCTTGAAAAATTCTTAAAAATTGATTCAAAGCCATTTCCTATTTCAGATTCTGTAGATTACTATTCATAGACTTCTCCAGATTAAATAAAGCTGCACTATGTTGAGCATCCCAACTAAGGAGATTTAAAAGGGGTTTTATTTGTATTTCTTGGTTATGGTGCTTATATCGATTTTTACGGAAATCATTTTAGCTAATTCGCTAGCTAAGGATTCAGAGTGTTTGGCCTTGATCGTGAAGGGTTTGGAAAATCAGGAGGCGAGAGAGGAGTTTTTGGAGTTGATCCCTTACAAGATCAAATTGATTTTGTAGATTTTATTGTTGAATAAAATAACCTACAGGACACAAAAAAATATATATTCGGAGTCTCCTTAGGTGCTCTGTTGAGTGCGAGAATGGTTCAACTAAGACCTCAATATTTCGATGGAATAATCCATATAGTACCTTATTACAGGAATCATGATTCTATCGAAGTCAGTGGGTTCAAAAGGTTTCTTTTGAAATCAATTTGCTTTTTCAATGGGTATGGGGTTATTGCTCGTAAATCAAGGACCCCTGAATTCGATGAGTTTTAAAGCTACCTAATAGAATAAGATATAGATTCAGTTGTTTTGATTAGATATAAATAAGTTGAGTATGGACTAAAAATTTAAGACGACTTTTAAAGAGAAATTTTGAAATTTACTCATATCCCTTTGTTCGTTGCAAAAGCTGAGGGTGACTGGGTAGTCTCTAATGAGGAGATCGATAGAGTTTATGAATTGAATACGAATCCAAGTAAATAATTAGTAAACTATAGAGGTGCTATTCATGCAATGATGCAGCAAGATGGTTATTATCAATAAATTGTTAAGGATTCGCTTGAATGGCTGTAGCGAATTAATGAGTGATTATGAATGATCTTCTGTTCATTAGATAAGATTATATATCAAATAAATTTTGGCATTTTAAGCATTATTAAAAATACATTTTATCTAAAATCCTTGTATAATAATTTGATGGGGTTTTGGGGTTTTGGGGTTTTGGGG